TTTCCTTGTCTAAATGTAAAACCTTGCTTTTCTCACCACCTTCTTGTTGTTGTACCATATCTCTCATCGTTGGCGATCATGTTGGCAATCCTATTTTTGTCAACAGCTGCATGAAAAAGTGCTGCTGAGTTTTGTCCAAACCAGTCCCTTAGGTTTTGAAGCCATGATGTTCTTCTTCTGCCTGGACCTCGTTTGCCTTCAATCTTTCCCTGGAGGATTAAGTGAAGTATACCGTATTTTTCTGGGTGTCGCATTACATGTCCAAAGTATTCTAACTTTCACTTTTTAATGGCTTTGATGGATTTCCTTTTGCTTTCCCAGGCAGCTTATCACCTCCTCATTTGTGATTTTGTCAACTCAGCTGCCTGTAAATCCACATTTCAAATGCTTTTAGTTTCGTCAAGTACTTTTCTCACTACTGAATTGTATTTTGTTAGGTAGTGCTCAGTATTCAAGTCTGAAGATTCTTTTGTATCTCGAGCCCATCTTCTCTTCAGTAGCCTTTTACGTATCTGAACATTCATGAGATGTTTTTTTCCTATATCAAATTCTCTAGATTTCTTCAGCCCATCCTCAAGTCCCTGTAGCACCTTTTTACACATTGTTGAACCTACACTATCCTGTCAAGTTGGAATCTTTCTTCCTCTTAGGAAAACATCTGGGTTGTTGGTTTTTTTCCATTGAAAGAGTTAAACCTGTGCAGGCTCAGACATAATGCCATAATAAGGGATTCAGTCTGTCATAATCAAGTCAGGGTCATAAATGTCTGAACAAATGCCATTAAATACCATTGTGAATAACTGCCGAATCAAGATCTGATATACAAAAGTTAAAGCCAATTTGCAAACAATAAGAAACTGGGGCAAGTTTTTTAAATGTTCTATCTAAACCAGGGATCGGCAACCTTAAACACTCAAAGAGCCACAAAGGTCCTAACCGGAAGCCCTCTGTTTAATTCTGGAGCCGACCGGAAGTACGGTTCCCCCACCATAGAGTCTCATCTTAGTGTGGCATCCTTTTTCCTCTGCCGATCAGAAGTACGGTTCCCCCACCATAGAGTCTCATCCTAGCATGGCATCCTTTTTCCTCTGCCAACCAGAAGTATGGTTCCTCCACCATAGAGTCTCATCCTAGCGTGGAATCCTTTTTCCTCTACCGACCAGAAGTACGGTTCCCCCACCATAGAGACTCCTAGCTCAGTGTCCTTTTTCCTTTACTTGACCTAACTGAAAGCCCTATCAATTGTGGAGCTGACCAGAAAATCTGCCCCTTGCCATAGAGTCTCCTTCTGGCATGCTGTGCTTCCCCCTTAACTGGAAGTTACTCTCAAAATTGTGGCACCGACCAATGACAGGGAGCCACAGTAGAGGGATGAAAGAGCCAGATGTGGCTCCAGAGCCATGGGTTGCTGACCCCTGATCTAAACCAATAACTGTGATTAAATGATTTTATTCAATTTTTTTTTTAAACTGCTACTGTAAAAGAGCAGAGAAGATAGGGGAACTGCAGAAACCATGGTTTGCTGATGTGTTTGGAACATAAACTATGACTTACATACATTCCAGCCAGAGCAAGCCAAAACATAGTATTGTATCTGACCCAGTACATAGAAATGAGTACATAAGATTGTGATCAGAGTTGGCTAGAATACAATAGGTCATATTCATTATTGTTGTGATCAATACCTTATCGTGTGAATTATAGGGAGGTATCTTACACCATGTCAGAACACAGCCCCAAATCTGTCTTCACTGGCTTGCGGAAGCTCTCCCATGATTCCAGAAAGTGCATGGATGTCTTTTTTTTTATTTTCCACATAAGGCTAGAAATACTGAGGATTTAACTTGAGATTTCCTGCATTCAAATCAGGGATTTGAATGCAGGATTATCATGGAGCTCCCTTTCTTTCTTGTACAAATATTGGGAAGAATATGGGAACCCAAAGGATTATTATTGCATGTTGATAATCAATCTCTGTTGATTTCTCTTCAGTTGGCTTCATCAAGCCTGTCAGAAAGTCCTACTGGTGATATTGAAGTAGAGATCATGGACTCCAACCACTCTGAAAAAACAAACCAAGACGTTGACAGCGGTGGAGGCCATGACCATGAAGAAGTAAGATGTTGGAGCTGGAAGATTTAAAGCAATATGAGTTCAATCACTCAAAAAGTGCAATCACTCAGCAAATTTAGTAGAATTTAAATAGTGCTGGTGGTGTGTATGTGGGGAGAAAGGGGGGAAATGTTGAAAACTTTTTGGGGTTTGGGGAACCTATTTACAGTTTATTTGGAACCCATTAAGTTTCTAGAAGGGGTCGTGGCGGCTCAGTGGCTAAGACACTGAGCTTGTCGATCACAAAGGTCGGCGGTTCGAATCCCTAGCGCTGCATAACGGAGTGAGCTCCCGTTACTTGTCCCAGCTTCTGCCAACCTAGCAGTTCGAAAGCACATAAACGTGCACGTAGAAAAATAGGGACCACCTTTGGTGGGAAGGTAACATCATTCCGTGTGTCTTTGGCGTTTAGTCATGCCAGCTACATGACCACGGAGACGTCTTCAGACAGCACTGGCTCTTCGGCTTTGAAACGGAGATGAGCACCGCCCCCTAGAGTCGGGAACGACTAGCACATATGTGCGAGGGGAACCTTTACCTTTAATTTTCTAGATTTAGTGGTGTTTAGAATAAACTGACTGAAATCCATAGGATGTATTGAAAAAAAGCTAAATCAAGTTCCACTTATTGCAGTACAATAGAAATGAGAAACACTATAGGTGTATTCAACCTTCTTTTCCTTCTTTTCCTAAAAACCTTCTTGCAGTTCAACTTTGGCGACATCTGCGTGCACCAGGCAATCCACACTATTGAATATTGCTTGGGTTGCATTTCCAATACAGCTTCCTATCTCCGGCTTTGGGCACTCAGCCTGGCTCATGCACGTGAGTTTGCAGCTACTGATCCTCTTGCCTATGAGAAATCGTTGGGTTGGGCCACCAGTTAAAATACATCAGTATTTGGTATCCACTCAGAACAAGCTTCACCAGTCTGCTGCCCACTGATGGTTTGTGTTGTAGTTCCCCAGGCATCATGGACATTGATGGGGTGTCAAACTCAATTTCATTGAGGGCTGCATCAGGGTTGTGTTTCACCTTGGGGTAGCATAGCTGGGGGGGGGGCAGCTTGACATCACTCATGTTGGGGGTACCTGTGGTGGCCCAAGTGCTTTCCCAGCAAAAACAAGCTCCCAAGCTCCGTTTTCAGCAGAAGGTGAAATAGATGTATCTTCCTTGAACCCATTTCACGGCCTTCAAAAAGTCTATTAAGACCTGGCTTTTCTGGCAGGCCTGGGGCTGTTGACCTCTTGAATGAGGTCCAGCCCCACTACGGTTGAGTGTGTTGTGTTTTAACCTGCTTTGTTTTCTTTATTTTTTAAACTTTTTAGTACTTTTTAAATTGTCTTTTATGTAAGCTGCCCGGAGCCCTTCGGGATTGGCAGCATATAAGTTAATAAAAATTAAAATGCAATTCAAATTTGAGAGAGACCGTTTTCAAATCCTAAAAGGTTTCCTGCAACCCTTTGCCGGTAAAAATGGAGCTCGGGATGGCCGCACACAGCCCTCACAAGTTCTGTTTTCGGCTAGGACAGCTTTCTGCAATCCTCTGCTAGCGAAAACGCAGCCCTCCCAAGTTCCGTTTTTGCTGGCAGAGGCACTGCGGGCTGGTCCGTTACTGTTTCCAGGGTGGCCCCGCAGGCCAGATCCAAGCACCCCATGGGCCAGATCTGGCCTGCAGGCCTTGAGTTTGACACCCCTGTGCTAGATGGACATGATGGAAATTGGATAGCACCAGATTACAGAAGATTCTGAATAAACTCTTTTCATCAGGGTCGTAACCTTTTCAACCAAAGATTTTAGTTATGTTTTTATAATTTATAATCCATTATTCCTTGTCTGGCCTTCAGGTGCTTTGGAAAATAGCTTAACACCACCACCTCCTTCCTCTCTGTGGCAGCCCCACAGAGACTGGTGTTGTGGCCCGTCAGCGGAACTGACAGCAAAGTCAGACAGTGAGGAGGTTGAGGAGGAGAATGGGCCAGTCCTAGAGGCTGGGAAAGGCTCAGACGAGGGTTCTGCATCAGAGACAGAGATGGGGCCGAGGCCGTCTGGCAGTGATCAGGTGCCTACGGAGCTAGACAACAGTGAGGTAGAGGAACAGCTAGAGCCTGTTCCCAGTGTATGCATGCACAGAGCCCAGAAGGGCTCCTGGCTCTTGAGCAATCCGGCCCAGCGTTAGGACTGCCCAGGGAACTTTTTGACCCTGCCTAAATTGGAGGGGTGGGGGGAGGAGAATATAGAGGTCCTGCCCGCTTGCCTCACCAGCTGTGAACCTCACCGCACGTCACTGCTACGGAGCTAGACAGCAGTGAGGCAGAGGAACAGCTGGAGCCTGTTCCCAGTGTGCGCAAGTGCAGAGCTGCCAGAAGAAAAGAACAATGCAGAAATCAGGGT